TTCTAATAAGGTTTGTTCGAATAATTTGTTTTTATTCGTTATGGATTTGAGTATTCGAACGAAATATATTGAACGTTTACTCGAATAAAACGAATAATTCGAATATGGAATTTGCATTAAGAATAGAAATTCCACATATCGATATTAATAACGATGATAATGAATAAAAAGTAATTACACAATTCATTGTTTTGAATTTAAATGATAAATATAAAAATGATAAATAATTGCATTGTTGAAAGTGATGCCTCTTCAATTAATTGCTTCTTCAACAGGCATAGTACAATATGTTCAAAGAAAAACAAAAAATAAAGTGTGGAACCATTTCACAACCGTAGATGGGTAAGCCAAATGCAATCATTGCACTATTCCCAAAAGGAAACTTTTAAATTCAAATTATTTCATATGGTATATGCTTCGAACCAAGTCAAATCGAATCATTTATTATTATAGGTTCGGATCAAAGCACGATTTGCATTCGAATCAAAATTAGGCGGTTCGAATTTCATTGATTCGTTCAATATTTTAACAGGAATTTTCCAGTTTCAATAAACCCTGGGGTTTCACGATTATGTTCTTTCCCAATCAGCAATACTTATATACCCGAATGTCAATGAAAGTGGAACTCTTGTTGATGAAAGAGCATCATGAATGATTTAAAAAGAGTAAATAAAGAAATCATATAATTAATTTTCTTTAATAAATATAATTTTTTTTATAACCATCAAGGCTGGGTGACGAAAATATTTTGGAGCATAAAAAATATTAATATTCGTCTAACGGGGCACATGTGACGAACACGACAAAGGGAAAAATCATTTGAGATTTTTCTTTGGCCAGTTAGAACAATGCTTTCATAAAAGTTTGACAAAAGAATTTGGGCATTTTGTTTTTTGTTTATTTCATCCAAATAAAAATGAGAAATAGAATAACGGCATCCGGGACATTCATCGGCTAAATGGGCCTCGAGTTTAAAGGTGTTCCACGATTCCAAGTTTTTGGACAATATTTGTAAGATGCCAAGTACGCCCTTTTTACTTTTCCGCACATCAGATACATGATGTTCTCGTGCTAATCTTGATTATTGTCAGATATAAATTTAAATGTGCGACCATCAAAAAATATTCTAGTTGGTAATAATAATATACAACATTGTATTTGGTAATAATAATATACAATATTGTATAATAATGTTCGATATGGTAATATGATAAAGATATTTTTAAATAATATTAATATTAAAAATGCTAACAAACATTTAGGACAAGGAATTGGATCCAGATTATAGATGTAAGAAATTTTTAATAAGTTGAAGTTAAAGCTCGAGATAGGTTAGATTATTTTGAATTTTTGTAAAATATCACTTTGAAAAAAACTTGGATAACAATTTTATATTTAGCATCCGTGAGTACAGATATAAATCTTTAGAAAAAATTGTCCTTACATGGAAAGATCCAGAAGCTAATATGATGATCAGTGATGACTCGGTGATAGTGAATATCTTGAAGGGTAAGCAGAGGCATAGATTTATGGTAAGAACAATTTAGGAGTAAGCTTAGTTTATATATTAATATTTACATTCAATACTAGAAACCATGTGAAGATATGAAAACCCTTCTCCCCAATCCAGTCGAGTCTATATGCAACGAGTTTGTGAAGGATTCATATGCTTCAAGAGATATGGGGTGTATTTTACACAATATTGAATGGAAAGAGTATGAATTCGAGCTAGTAAAATAGCGGAACGTATCTTAAGCATACTGTAAGTAATTATCAAGTATTTATCTTTGTGTAAATGGTTATAGGATAACTTCCCAATATATATTAACCAGTGGTGAGATATGGAGTAGTTAAAAGCTCTCAAGTGGTTCATCCTGGAGCGAACAAAGTGAAGGGACTTATACTACGGATGTCATGGTTCCTTTACTTTGAGAAGTCTGGAATGGCATTATCTTCTTGAGTGCATAAGAAGACATATAGCTGATAAAAATTGTCATGAAAAACCGAATTATTTATACCATATTTCTTCATTGACTACAGGGCAGAGCGCCAGAGTCTGGCGAGCAAGGCTCTGAAGAAATCTTGGGATCAGTGAGGAACGTATGGGGGAAAGTCTAATGTCATTGTGTTGGCAAAGAATAGAGAAAATAATATTGAGCTTTTATCATGTTGGATGCTCACGTGTCTTCTGTACTAGATTAAAAAAAGAAGATAATGGCGTGAAGTTGCAGAGAGAAGCATTAGATGAAGTAACTTTAATTAGTACATTATGCAGACCGATGATGTCTAATCAATTCAGTAGTTTTAATACCTTCCTTCTTATTCTGTCAATTTCCTATTTTTAAATAAATATAATAGACATAGATATCTGTATATAACAAGAAATGAATTATTACATATTATGTAATCTTTTAAGGTCTTTATAATAAAATTTGCGGCAAGTTTACTATTACTATATTCATTCAAAATAAAATAATAATAATAAAAGAACAAAAAAATTACTCCAAATATAAATTAAACTTGTATTTATATTTATCATCATATTAAAATAATCTAAAGCCAAATCCTTCGATTAAATGTTGTAATGATTACAACATTCGGCAAAATATTATTTTTAACATTATTTCATATACATTTATTATTGCCATGGATACATGTCCATATGTAAATTATGTAATAAATATTGTGAATATATGTGCATCTGATATAATGTTGATTATTTTATTATTAACATACAAATTATATGATAGTGCTCGTATAGCACGATACATTTTTTTAATTCTTTCTTAAAAGTTGGACATTCCTATTTCTAGCATCATTGCAAAACGGGGTTTTTCTGTTCTGGTCCTCCCAGTACTACTCATTAATTGTTTTTATTTTTATTTTTTGATCTTTTTATTTATTAGTGGATTCTTCCAACCACCAAATGTTTCGATTACCTAATGATCTTTCCGAATTAAGTAAAGAATAAGATATCCAAATTAGGCAACTACTTGTATATTCCCACAATACATTGAAATTTTAGAAAGGGAAAAAGAACTAGGCATTCATTAATAAACATATTAATCTTATTAGAAGTATTATTTTGGCATGGGTTCCGAGGAAGATGTGTTATTTATTAATAACTAGAGATATTAATACCTTATTTTTTTTTTATGAAATAGCCTTATTGATATTATAAATCAAAATATGGAGTGAAATTTATCTTGTTTTCTACATTCTTCTACATTAGACGGTTATGTTTACCTCCATGAGATTCTTTATCATAATAATAAATGATTGATTGATTGATTGATTGGTATGCTTGTTTTGCATAATTATTATAATAATAATTAATTAATTATAAGGTGTTGGTAAAAAAAAAAAGTACATAACCATTGAAAATGGGAAAGCAGCCTTTAGACAAATCTGGGAACATCAAAAACAACACAATATGCGATATTTGATTGTTGGAAATTTAACAGGTATTGAAGAAAATTACTTCAGGGCTCAATTATTTAAAAAATAACGTTCTCATTTGGTTTACGGAGGCTAACCTGAAATAGGTGACGCGTGGCCCTGAGGTTTATTGAAATTGTGTTGTTGTTAAAGAGACTGTTAAAGCCTCTCACTTGTTCAAAGCCTCATGTTACAATCATCTACTCTATAAAAATTCTATGGAATTGATAGTATGTTTGGTAGAAGTGGTAGAAGGAAGATTTTATTAAATATGGTACATGTGATAAATGTCAGATTTATTCATTTGGAAAGGAATTCTACAATGGGACACACACAAAAAAAAAAGGAATCAAGTAAAGACTTGACCACTAAAATTTTCTACTATAACTTGAGCGACAAGGCAATGGAAACCTTGTCCTACATGAAAAGGATCTTAACTAACTTTACCAAATTCTCTCATTTTTACTTGTCTTCAAAATTAGTTACTTAAAAGTTTCATTTCTGCACGATCTTAGTATTGTTATTGCCTTAGCGATGCACATCAAACGCATTGCAAAATCATAATGAACATTGTAATAGAAACAAAGGTATTCCACATTAAGAAATAATTAAATAGCAACAAAATAAGATAGCTTTATTTATTTTGAACCAAGAGAAAAATACATTATGATTTTAATTTATGCATACAAGATAAAAACCACCAGAGCAATTTCACGGGAGGAAAATATTTAGACCCAAAGCCATTGATGAGTATTTACGTATTCTTTGATTACTCTGGTGCGAATATATTATTATTATCTTATCAATTAAAGCAAATATCATTACTAATTTTTCTTTCTTCATCTTCCTTTTCCATCAATCTTTTCTTTTCCTGGTTAACCCACTAGTGGGGGGTTGTTTTGATTTATTTGATTATTTCATCGAATTTTTGTTTTATTATCATATCATGTGTAGTTGGTTTATAATGAAGTAAGAAGCCAAGGACAAGTCCAATTAACAACCCACGAAAAAGTTCACTGTTGAAAAAGTATGCACTTTATTAAATTATTTATTGGTAGAGAAAAAAAGTATTAAATATTTCTATATTATTTGGTTTTTTAAACAAAAATAAAAATTTAGCAATTGATTATTATTGAAGGATCTCTCAGTTTTTTTTTTTTTTACCAATGAATTGGTAACATTTTTCAAACACAAGTCAGAATTATGTTGCCTTGTTTTGATGTCAATTAAATAAAAAATTTAAAGTAGCAGATCTTGAATTTATTGGTTGCGTTTATTATTATGGATTATATAGTATTCTTATATAGCGCAAATTCAAATGGGAATTTTTTCAGAAAACCACCACATATAATAAAAGCATTATAGTTGTTTTAATATTAAATAAACTTTTTATTAACCACCTCTTTTTCAAAAAATAATAAATAAAAAATTAAATACAAAAAATGCATATTTATATATATTTTGTATAAAAAAAGATTAGTCTAATATTATTTATTATGATTAGAAGAATATTAAATGTAAATTTGTTTATATTTATATTTATTTATAAAAATTGTTGTTGTTTACAATAATAAACCAATTGCACCAATGGCGGCCATGGAGGCAGCAGCAACAATATTGCTGTTAACTTTGAATGCGGCAGATTTTGGAGATTCTGGTGGAGCAGCTGTAGTGTTTGCAGCACCAACTGTCAAGGTACCGTACATACCATTTGCACAATGATCACCAACACCACAGAAGAACCAGATCTTGCCGGTTGTTTCAGTGACGGTGTAGACGAATGTTTTAGGAGCTGTGAAGGCACCAGCAGAGTCAACTATTGAAGGAAAAGAGAAAGAAAAGAAAACGATTAAAATTTTACGAAAAAAAAATTAAAATAATAATAATAATTTGGATTTGTTTTAAATACTTACGCGCATTTAATGATGCTGATTTAACACAACTCTTGGCTGCATCGGATCTAAAGACACTGTGTTTACCAGCAACCCATGTAAAGGTAACCTATATATAATAATAATAAATACAAGATAATTAATTGATTGATCGATTGATTGATTGAATAAAGATAAAATGCTAGCTTTAATGTAAAGTAATACTTACAGTGTCACCAGTCATAACATTACCCGTCGAGGGTTCGAAGATATTTGGGGTTGCGGATGTTGAACCAACTTTAATCTCAAGATTGGCGGCGGCGATACATGAAATAGCCAAGGAAGCGATCAAGGCAACGATTAAAAATATTTTTGCCATTTTATTATAATTTTAGGAATGAAAGGTTTTATTTATTTTTATTTATTAATTAATTATTATTTTTGATTTTTATTTTCTTCACAGTTTTTTTTTACTTTTCTTTGAGGGTAAAATTCATGATATTTATAATTAAAATTTTTATAATGGAACAAAATTGTATTCTTGTACGTCATTAAATTAATTAATTTTTTTTTTTTTTATTAAAAAAGAACAATTCTGATAAACATAGTACAATTAAAATTATTATTTACATATTTTATTATATTATTATCGTACAAATCAATGAAATCAATCATTCAGTTTGTTTCAAATAATTTACAAATTACTAAATAAGTCAGTCAATTAAAATGTCATGACACAAACACAACATGGAAAATTCGTTTCATACCATTTTTTTTAGCTTTGTTTGGCAGCCATTAAAATTGAGACTTTTTTGCTATTATTTGGCAGACATTAAAATGAGGCTTTTTCGCTATCATTCATTAATTTATTTGATTAATATGTAAGATTATCTACCCTCCTTTGTTTAATAATTCACTCCCTGTGGTGCAACAAAATTGAAACATGTAAAACAAAAAAAAAACAACCAGAATTAATTAATTCAACAAGGAAAAAATAAAATAATTTACAAGAAAAGAAAAGTGACAAGAAAAGAGAAAGAAAATAATTAAAATCATCTTTCTTTTGTTTCTTTAACAATTGATTTATTGATGATTAATACGACTGCCAAAATTGGATGGAAATCTAGAATAACGAATTTAGTATATATTAATATATACTATTATATACTAGAATTAAAAAGGGCGAAAATCCGAAATCCGAAATCCGGTGTTACGTGAATATGAATGTTTAAAAAATCGCGTAACACAAAATTTCATTCATTGTTAATGTTGTTGTGCGTGAAAATGAAATTCAAATTAGCCAATCAGAATTTCATATCCAAACACCCAAAATTTTAATTATAAATTTCACACATGCAACATTAAAAATTGATAGAGAAACCTTAAATGCTAATTAATAATCATATACGATAAAATGGTAAAAACCTAACGATAACACTAAAACCAAGAATGTTTTATTAATCAACCACATTATCTACAGATTTGGTTTTTCCTCCTGCTAAAGTATCAGAATTACAATCATAGGGGTGTTTGATCATAATTTTAATTAATAATTCTGACAAATTATTTTCCCCAACAATTTTATTTTTTTAGAAAATTATAAAAAAAAAAAATTTTTTTTCCCATTTCGCTAACTGATTTTTAATAATGTAAGAAAAAAAAAAAAAAAAAAAAGATTAACAGAAAATGTCCGCACTCCAATGTTTCATGTAGCGTACGTTTATTTTCAAATAAGAATGGCTGAAATTATTTTGATATATTTGGGTTTAATAACAAAACAAAAAAAACGTTTTTATTTTGTATGGACCGATTAAAACTCAAAATTGATTAATTTAATTGTTTATGGAAGATTCTTTTTATTAAATTTAACGACCAATTTACACCAAAAAAAAAAAAAACTGGTAGCGTTTCACTGGTTTAGTACAACTTGGCTCATGTTATCTATGTTAAAAATATGATCGAGTTTGTAGCATTTAAATTCGTGATGACTAGGTTTAGATTACCCAAGAGCAGTATAGATTTCTGTATTTATTTTGAAACTAACTTGATTCCACTTGAAATTATCTTTTCCATCCTCCCTTATATACATTTTAATTTCCTATTTATGCAGCACAATTCTTTACAGGTCAATTTAAATTAGTGTGACCGGAAACAATTTCAAAAACAGCAACACCAATAATAAATAATTTTAAATAAAATCTGCAATGTGCAATTAATTGCATTTGGGCCATACCAAACAATGTGTCACTCACAGAGGTCACACAGTTGTAGTATTGGTTTTCAAAAAATTTTTGTTTTTATTTACTTTTCCATGCTTACATTTTTTGTAACCAATAGCAAAAATCAAAATCAATCAATTAAAAGTGAAGAAGGTGCTAAAGGTCAATAATTATTATATTTGCCAAGAAAAATATTTTTGGGTTGAACGATAATTTTTCAGTTTCGCGGGGTAAAAGTAGTAACAATTAAAATAAAATCCATTTCTTTATTAAATAATTCAGCATTTTGAAAAACTGTTAACAAGTAAGGAAGGCTCTGAACGAATCGAATTCCGAAAAAACTTGATTCGATTCGGATTTCTAAATTTCTTTTAATATCATGTTAATAGGGTTTCTATTCTAATAAGGTTTGTTCGAATAATTTGTTTTTATTCGTTATGGATTTGAGTATTCGAACGAAATATATTGAACGTTTACTCGAATAAAACGAATAATTCGAATATGGAATTTGCATTAAGAATAGAAATTCCACATATCGATATTAATAACGATGATAATGAATAAAAAGTAATTACACAATTCATTGTTTTGAATTTAAATGATAAATATAAAAATGATAAATAATTGCATTGTTGAAAGTGATGCCTCTTCAATTAATTGCTTCTTCAACAGGCATAGTACAATATGTTCAAAGAAAAACAAAAAATAAAGTGTGGAACCATTTCACAACCGTAGATGGGTAAGCCAAATGCAATCATTGCACTATTCCCAAAAGGAAACTTTTAAATTCAAATTATTTCATATGGTATATGCTTCGAACCAAGTCAAATCGAATCATTTATTATTATAGGTTCGGATCAAAGCACGATTTGCATTCGAATCAAAATTAGGCGGTTCGAATTTCATTGATTCGTTCAATATTTTAACAGGAATTTTCCAGTTTCAATAAACCCTGGGGTTTCACGATTATGTTCTTTCCCAATCAGCAATACTTATATACCCGAATGTCAATGAAAGTGGAACTCTTGTTGATGAAAGAGCATCATGAATGATTTAAAAAGAGTAAATAAAGAAATCATATAATTAATTTTCTTTAATAAATATAATTTTTTTTATAACCATCAAGGCTGGGTGACGAAAATATTTTGGAGCATAAAAAATATTAATATTCGTCTAACGGGGCACATGTGACGAACACGACAAAGGGAAAAATCATTTGAGATTTTTCTTTGGCCAGTTAGAACAATGCTTTCATAAAAGTTTGACAAAAGAATTTGGGCATTTTGTTTTTTGTTTATTTCATCCAAATAAAAATGAGAAATAGAATAACGGCATCCGGGACATTCATCGGCTAAATGGGCCTCGAGTTTAAAGGTGTTCCACGATTCCAAGTTTTTGGACAATATTTGTAAGATGCCAAGTACGCCCTTTTTACTTTTCCGCACATCAGATACATGATGTTCTCGTGCTAATCTTGATTATTGTCAGATATAAATTTAAATGTGCGACCATCAAAAAATATTCTAGTTGGTAATAATAATATACAACATTGTATTTGGTAATAATAATATACAATATTGTATAATAATGTTCGATATGGTTAAACGATGGATTATTTCAAAATATTCTAGTTGACATATATTATTAAAGTTCTAAATTAATTATAGTTTGAATTTTTTGTTTTATTAAAAAAAGATAAATCTTAAAACTACCAAGATATGTAATTTATAACCAGATGTCAAATGATTTTTTTAAAAAATTTTTTTTTTTGACTAATGTGAACTACCAAGAAGATATATATTACCCTATTGTTGTTATTATTAATTTGGCTATTTTTGTTATCATTATTTCTTAACAATAGCATTATTAGTATTTAT